GGAAACCAGGGAGGAGAACAGCCCGAAGGAAGCAGTGGTCCAAGAGTCAGCTCCACAGAAGGGTCAGGGAGGCAAGAAGTGGCCTCAGCAGAAACACTGTGCTGGGCTGGTGGGTGGGGGAGTCCATGAAGGTAAGAGCTTACAGAGTCAGAATGTCATCTCCATGCTCTGGAGGGGCTGGGAGAGGAAGAAGGCACCATGGGGATGGCTGAGGGCGGTGGCCAGGCAAACAAGGCTAAAGGCGCATTTTTTTGGGTCAGCGTAAATGCTGAGGGGAAGCCACCAGTGCAGAGAGGTGGGCAACCAAATGTCCCAGTTTGTCCAGCTCTTTCCTGGGTTTAGCACTGAAACTCCCACGTTCTGGGAATCCCCACAGTTCTGGGGTAACTGGGAAACTGGGAGGGTTGGTCACCCACTTCAGCCAAAGAAAGGTTACAATACAGAAGAGGAGGGAGGGAAGATGGGTGGAGGGGGCAGCCCTGGCAAAGACAGGGTGTAGGTGCAGAGAAGGCTGTGGGAGGCCTCTGCCGCCCCTGTGAAGGGGCGAGGTCCTGAGGGAGTGACGGGGGTGGGGGCGGGGGGTGCTGAGGAACGCTGGGCACAGCTGCCCTGAGGCTTGGCTGTGTAGGGCCAGCCAGCTTCTCTGTCCAGCAGACCTGTGGCCCCACTTTTCCTGTGCCGCCCATCCCTCCCGATAACGTATCTCCTGTCTGTCTCCACAGTCCCCACCCTGTGAAGCCCCTCAGTGCCGCCCCTGTGGAGGGCAGCCCCGACAGGAAGCAGCCCCGCTCCAGTCTGAGCACAGCCCTGAGCAGTGGGCTGGAGAAGCTCAAGACAGTGACATCTGGCAGCATTCAGCCTATGGCTCTGGCCTCCCACGTTGGCCCGACTGTGGACACCAAGAGGCTGAAGGTGAGGCCTAGCAGGGCGCCATGGGGGATCAGACCAGACGTGTGGTGCTGTGAAGAGAGGTCAGGTGTCTTGAGATCAGAAACAGGGTGCTGAGCAGGGTGGAACAAGGAGTAGACCTGGTCTTGCCCGCAGGGCTCTGAAGCCATTAGGCTGCCTCTGGCATTGGAGGCAGAGGCAGCTCCGGGAGACCAGGGTGTCGGAGGGCCGGTGGGCAGGTAGGCCTGAGGGTGCCCTGCTCACTTTCGTTCCATCTGACCTCAGGATTCTGGCGTGCTGGACCAATCGGCCAAGTATTACCATCTGACCCACGACGAACTCATCAGCCTGCTCCTGCAGAGGGAGCGGGAGCTGAGCCAGCGGGACGAGCATGTGCAGGAGCTGGAGAGCTACATTGACCGGCTGCTGGTGCGGATCATGGAGACCTCACCCACACTGCTGCAGATTCCCCCTGACCCCCCCAAATAGCCCTCTTCGCCCCCACCCTCCGGGAGAGTTGGCATGGACCCACTGCTCAAACAGGGCTCACGCCCTACCTGCTCCTGCTGAACTCACGCTCACCTGGGCCAGGGTGCAGCCTGTCCTCTGTCGTCATCCCTTGCTCCCCCTCCCTCCTGCCTCACCCGGGGCTGCTGGAAGGAGGGCCTTTGGACTTCCACTGGTGGTGGGTCATACCCACCTGCTTATTTTCATACCCCTTGGCTTTAGGGAGCTCCAGAAATTGGAACAAAGAATTTAGCCCTCAAGACAGAGCAGGGATTTGATGCAATTTGATGTGGTATCTGGGACATACTTTATTATTACTCTATAGGGATGGTCAGCCATTTCTTCCACGGCTAAACCCATGTCCTCTTCATCTCCCTCTAGCCCCTGGAGGGCTCATAGTATTACTAGGGCTGCGGCAGGGACCAAGCTGCCCATCTGTCTGTGAGTTATGGGCAACCAGGCACCTACTCTTCAGCCTCACATCCCTGAGAGCAAGGAGCCTATATGGTCTAGTGTCATGTCTGCCATGTCTTGAGTCTATCTGTCTCCAGCTATTTGTGGAGCAAACACAGTGTGGATGGAGGGAGACGATGTGCATTCTCCAGGCCCTCCGTGCCCTCCTTTTCTGACCTTTCCGTGAGTGTCGTGTGTGAATGTGTGGAGAGTTTGGGCAGCTGTGGGGAGACTACCTCCCCACCTGCCTCCAACGTGTGGGCCCCTCCAGGCCTTGGGGCTTTGGGTTGTTTATGTTTGAAGATCAAGCTTCCATCCCTGTTCTCATTGTCCGTTCAGATGTCAAAACTCTGTGCTGCTACAGGGTTTGAACTTTGGGAAACCGATTAAAATGTGCCTTTTGTGGGTGGGGTCATGAGCCTCTGATTGTAGACTCCCACCCCCCGTTTGGCGCCCCTCTCCTCTGTTGAGCACATGGGGTTCCATCTGGCAGGACCCTAGGGATGGAAATAGAGGATGGGGCAACTCTGCTGTGGGCTCTTCCCTGCCCACTCCCCCCACCCCATCCCACCCCGCCCCGCCAGAGTTAATTTCCGTTAAGGGTCTGGCCAAACTGCTGTTCCCTTAACCCACCTGCTCTCTTCTCTTACTCCCTCAGCACCAATTGAGGGGAGTCCCGGGGCAGGGGGAGGTGACTACTGTCTGGAAGTGGGAGATCCCATTCTGCCTATACTTAGGAAAAAGCCTTTGTTGTCTTCTCATCCATCCACCACCTGCTGTTCCAGCCTGTCCTTTCTGCCCCATGACCTTGATTGCCTTGGCTGCAGTGCACTTTGAAACAAAGTGTCTGTCCTTTGGCCCAGCCCTGATTTGCTTGCAGAAAAACAGCAGGCTTCCCCATGGCATCTGTAGGGGACCTTTGGTAGCTTGGGGCACCCTGCCTTAGCAAAGTTGGGTGAGGAGGTGAGAACTCTGGCATTGACTCCTTTTCATGAGCTGGCCTGTTGGGTCATTCCCTGGGGTCACTCAGAAAGCCTTGGAAGGAGATTTGCTCTGTGAGTGATGCCCTCTGCCAGGACAAAGCAGAAGGGCCCCACATATGGGAGAAGATCCCTGTAACATTATCTACCTAAGGAATGCTCATGAAAGCTGAGCACAGTGTCCACAGGTACCTAAGACTTCAGTCATGTTTTTTGGGCATTGGGGATGGGTATCTCTTCTGGGGAAGGGGGTCACTCCTCTACTAGGTGTCCCTCTGTGCTCTATTCAGTCCCAGCTCTTGACACTGACCCTCCATTTGTCCTTGATTATGGGCCTCCAGAATGCCCAGGCCAGGGATATCTTTGGAAGAGTCTGGAGTTGAAGCCTAAGGTTCTTATTAGGTGTCTCTGCTCCTGGCCACGAGTCGAGAGAGAGCTGCAGGTGGGGCGGGCAGGGAGCAGGCACAGTTCTGCTTTGCTGTTTGTCTTCCTAGTTGTAACTCCTGTTTATAAAGAGCTTGTTCATGTTTCGAGCACTTTATGAAGAATAAAAAGTTCACAGACTGCAGGTGGCTCTGTTGTGTTCCTAGTTTGATGAGCATGTGAAGCAGGCTTCCTGGGGAGAAGGCAGGTGACGGGTTCTTGGATGACACTGTCCCTCTCCTAACATCAGGACAGGGGCACAGTGTTGCCCAGTGGTGGTCTGGACTCAGTCTTTTCTCACTCCCAGGATACCCACATATATTGAGTACTATGGGGAGTTTAGAGGATAAAAGACTTGATTCCTACTCTCAAGCCACTTAATCTAGTAGGGAAAGGTGAGATACAAGTCCAGGATACAAATCATTCATGGATTCCTAGAATCTCTCTCCAACCTTAGGGAAAGTCTGTTTCTTGTGGTTCACCTGTTGGAGGATGAGGAGGAACTGACTGCTCCAGATCATGAATTGTTCAGAAATACGGGCAGGCAGGTGCCAACCCTGCACCTCACCACAAGACTAAGGAGACCCAAAGTGGGGTTCCCTATGGTCAAAACCAAATATTTCTACTGTCCTCTCATATGAAACAGGGAGCTCCTCATCTTCCCCCAGTGTGTTCATTATCCCCACTGGCGGCTTGCTCTACATTCTGCAGTACTCCCCCCTTATCTAAAGTCCATGTAGTGCTTGACACCACTGAACACCACTGAACCCTACTCCCCACTCCGAGTTGTCTTTCTGCCCAGGAATTGGCCGCCGGAGGGATCTTCCTTGGCAAAAGAAAGTGGAGGCTTCTAAGGCTCCTAAACACCACACCCCCCTCCACCCCGCACTGCGGGCTTGGCCAGGAATCAAGAAGTCACAACTCCTGCCCTGTGGACCTTACAGTAGGCAAGACAGACACTCAAAGACATAACTAATGATAAACAGAAGGGCTGCAAAAGTGCTGGGTGCTATAGGAGCATGCAGAGGGGTTTTGTGGCAGGAGGGCGATGGATTGGGAAACAAAATATTTAGGCTGCGGCCATAAAGATAGCCAATGTCAGGTGAAGATAAAAAGTTAAGAGTTTTCTGGGTACAGGATGTTTGAGGGTCGGGTGGGGAGCGCCCAGCATATTTCAGGAACTGTCAGGGTGGCTGTGGAGCACAGGGCGAGGGGCAGGGTGGGACGGAAGAAACGGCAGGAATATTCCGGCATGAATATTCCGCAGTGCAACTTCCTGCAGAAAGCCTTCTTAGATTAACCCTTCTCCGCCTGGAGTCCTTGCCCATCCTATCCCGGGTTGGATCCGCTGGGGCACTTCTGGGCTGCAGCTCCAGGAGCAAAGCTCACCGTGGCAACTCAAACTTCTAGGAGCAGGTAACCAGCGAGGGGGTCGCTCGGCAACTCAAACTTCTAGGGGCAGATAACCAGCGAGAGGATCGCTCGTGGCTCTCTTAGTCAAGACCTTAGAGTCGTACTTGCACAGTCTTCCCGGACCGCAAAACTGGCAGCCCAGGAACCAAACCCTGGTTGCGTCGGTGCCACTCTCTGCAGTCTAGGGCTGTCGAGCGTCGTGACAAGGAAAACTACACTCCCCACAACCCCTTGCGCCTCCGGTTCGCTGCGGTTGCTTATGGCCAATCGGAAGAGGCAGCTGTGGCGGGGGCCGAGGAGGGACATTTTAAAAGGGCCGGAGACTGCGGGCGTCAGTGGCCATGGCGGATACAGCGACTACAGCATCGGCGGCAGCGGCAAGTGCCGCTAGCGCCTCGAGCGATGCACCTCCTTTCCAGCTGGGCAAACCCCGGTTCCAGCAGGTGAGGACCGGGCTGTGGTCTGAGGGTCAGCGGGTGGCACATGGAGGGTGAGCAAACTCCTCTTCAAAGTCCCCTCTAGCTCTAGGGTCTTCGACCCGTGGCCACCCAGGAACCTGCAGCTGCTGGATCGGGGACCTCGGCCACAGCTGTCTCTTTTTCATTGGCCAGCGGGCTGGGCGAGGACTCCCACTTTGGCTCCCTATTGGCCGTCGGTGCCGTCGCTCTGCAGCTGCCCGCGCCCTCCAGCCTTTCCCTCCGGAGGTGCTCTGTGATTGGCCGCTGCGGGCTGCGGCCCGGGATGCGGCCGCCGGGTCCCGGCGGCTTCTGCAGGGTCGCTTTGGGCTGAGCAGCTGCCCACCCTGGGCGGAAAGTTCGAGTATGGCCCTGGATGAGAAGTTGCCGTGGCCGAGATGCCTTCTGACTTTTTCCCCGGCTGGGGACTGACAGTCCGAGTTTCTGGAGGAGCCTCTGGGCAGCATCTATGCCCCGCGGTCACGCTCCCAACCTTCCACCCCAACTGGGTCCACTGTGCATGACGGGTCAGGGCCACGAGCCCAGGGGTGTTTGCGGCCTGGCAACTCGTCCCCTCTGGCGGGTGATTCGCTGACGCAGCGAGTTGGTCGGCTGGGTCTCTGTCTGGGATGGAGTGAGGACTTGCGGGGAGAGCCGGGTGCGGGGGAAACGCTGTGTCATCTGCTGGGGCAGGCTACCGCTGGGAGGGTCTGAGTCCCCGGGAGCATGCACCAGCTTCCTTCGCTCTTGACCTCGGCGCCTTGGGTCTCTGCACCCGAGCCCAGGTGCCGCCAAGCACTTGCTCTGTCCAACCTGCTCAGGCTCTAAGGAGCACTGTGACAGTGGTCCTTTCCTTCTGGCACCCCCGGCAGGGCGTCGCTAACTCCTTCTTGGTCACGGAGATGGGGATGGAACCTGCAGCCCGCAGAGGTTGAGAGGGACCGTTCCCATGGCTGGGGCAGCCTGCTCTCGGGTCCCGGCTGCCTCCTACACCGAGGAAATGGACTTTATTAGGAAAAGGGCAAAGAGACTCGCTGGAGTGAAACTGGGGTGGGGGACAGCGGAGGAGGACAGAAAAGTTTACAGGAAGAAAGGAAAAGTGCAAAGGCGGTGCGGTGGGATTTTTGTTGTTGTTTTCGGTGGTGGTGGTACAGAAACTGGTTCCAGTAAGGTGGGGCACCAAGCTTCGCTGATAATTAGGGAGCTGTGTTCCTGAACCTTCTGAGAAAATGTCCCTACTGTTTTAAAATAGGACTTTAATTCCTTAAAAAATAAACCATCTTAGCATGTAGGTGTCTAAGGTAACACTGGGGTCTTCCTACCAGTGTAGGGTGCCACCAAGGGCGAGACTGTGAGGGGTGCCTTTGCCTGCACTTGAGTGACCCCTTCTTTGTCCCCCTTTCTTCGCCCTCGGCAGTGGTCAAAGCTTAGTCGACCCATCTCTTCCCTTCTTCCCCTGTGACATTACCCCTAGTGGGACCAGGGTACTGACTTCCTCCTGCCCACATCTTTGACCACTCCAAGTGGGCTGCTAATAAGTCAGCCTGCCCTATGGTCCTCTGATACTTTTCTGTTTGGTTACTTGGTTTCTTTAACCCCTGTTTGTACCTGTTGAGTGAAAGGGCAGTTCTTTGCCCTTCCATTGTCTCCATTTAACCCCGAGGTGGGGCTAGGCACATAGTAATGTGTTGAATAAAGATCTGTGGGATGTTTTTTCTCTGGTACCTGCCCTGGGACATAGTCACACAACAGATATTTACCTAGAACTTCCAAGTGGACTGAGCCCTTTGCTGTGATCACCACTGGAGCCATAAATAAACATTGGAGAGGACAGCCATTGCTGGTATCTTCTTTGGCACCTCTCTGGAAAGCAGTAACAGTGCTTGCTTTTGAAACGCTCCTCCTCCAGCATAGTGGCCTGCATAAGCACAGTGCATACAATTCATCCATGTTAAGGGAGTCCTCTTTTTGCCCAACCCTGTTCCGTACCAACTGGTCCTACCTGTGCAAGCAGCCCAACCTGCCACCCAATTGACTCCTAAGAAACCTGGAGTCACATGTGTATTTCCCTTCCTCTCCCTTACTTTCTGAATACAACCAGAGGTCCAGTGTTCTCATCTCTTAAACAACTATCAAATCCACTGCTCTCCGCTGCCAGAATCCTAGACCAGGCTCCCGTCATCTAGCTCCTGAACAACCATGGAAGCCTCCCAATGAGTCTTGCTGCTTCCACTTTCAACCCTCCCTATGCTTCATGGCAGAATCCCAGCGCAGGTCTGATCAAGTGACTCCCCCACCTCCCCTCAACTTAAACACTCTCCAGTGGCTTCCTTGGCTTCTGAAATAAAGGCCTCACTTTTTAAGGGGCTCCAAAGGTCCCCCCCTGCTGATCTCTTCTTCCTTGAATCAGAAGGCCATTCACCCCATCAAATCTCATTTTTACCACATTGGCTGCTTCCGGCCCCTTGAACCCTGAGTGATTCATAGTCCAGGGTCCATTCCCAGAGCCCACATCGGGGACACCCTCTGAATCCCCAGCCAGCCTCGCCACTTTCTGCAAGAATGGGTGCCAGGTCTTTCCTTATTCCCTGGAGTTGCCCCAAACCCTTCCTCCCCTCATCCTTGGATCTCCCTGCAGAGGAGGGCAGGGGAGCAAGGGCACTGAGCAGTGTCTCGAGGGTGGAGACAGATAGCTGCCTCAATGGCTTTTGGTCTGGGATCATCTTTCTCCTCATAAGATGATGGTGATAGCCAAGCATTGTTCCAACTCTTTTGTGTATTGACTTATGTAATTTTCGCAACAACCCTTTGAGACAGGTACAGTTACCCCTTATATTACCAGTGAGAAAACTGCAGCACACAAACAGGTTAACTAATGTCCTAGGCCTCTGGCTCCAGAGTCAATGTTTGTTTGTTTATTGTAGACTTTCTGCCTTTGGGCTACAGGTTCAATGAGAATTTCATTCCTAAGCCCAGCGATTTGGGGGTCTGGGTAGGGAGGGCTGCAGGCTCCTTCCCAGACCACTGCCCTCAGCTGCTGCTTCCGAGGCCCACCCTACCCCAGGGGAGGCCACGGGTACTGCAGGCCCCAGCCCCTGCTGAGAATTAGCTGACTCACCTTTCTTGTGAAAGAAACTGGAGGGAGTCACTGGGCTGACTCATTCTTCAGGTAAAGGGAAAGGAAAGGAAAAACATCCACTGGCTGTCTGATTGGGTAAAGAGTAGGGCTGGATTCTGGAGGGGAGAAAAAGGCCTTATGTTTTAAACTATTGAGAAAATAAGAATTAACCAGGCTGAGAAAGGAGAAACCTTTCCTGCCATTCATCAGGCTGAGAGGACAGGCATTGAAGCATCTACCAAAAAACAGCGTTTCTCACAAGGATCCGCTGCATCTAGAAAGTGTCCCAGCAACCTTCCTGTTGAGTTATCTCTCTTTCATACTCACTGAGAAGTCACATTCTCCAAGATCTCTGGACCTGTTTTACAAGGGCACTAGTACCACTCGGGAGGGTCTAACCGCCTCCCGGGCCCCACCTCCAGGGCCATCCCCTTAGTCATTAGGATTTAACCTATGAATATTGGGGGAACACAAAACTTTAGTTTATAGTAATAATCACAGTAGAGTTACTACATTAAGGAAATTTAATATGGATGCAGTATTTTTATTAATCTATGACCGATATGTTTGTCAGTTGTCTTAATAATGTCCTTGAGAATATCATTTCCTCCTCCCCTTCCTGTACAGATTCAATCCAGAATCATGTGATACATTTTGTTGTCTCCTCAGTTTCCTATAATGTGGACCAGTTCCTCAGTCTTCTTTTGTCTTTATGACATTGACATATTTGATGAATAAGGCCGATTATTTTATGGATATCCCTCAGTTTGGAGTTGCCCGATGTTTCTTCATGATTAGATTCCTTCCAGAATACTATGCCAGTGAGTGATATTGTGAACTTCTCAAGGTATCATGTCCAAAGGCTCCCAATATTCATCTGCCCATCATTGGTCCTTTTAATACGTCCCCATCATTTGGAGGGGTGGCCCTTCATTACTTTCCGGTACAAAAAAATACACCAGTCTCATACCTTCTCTGCCCCAGCCCTGGAATTGGCGACTTCTCTAAGGAACCCTGACTCATTTTAGTGGACCAGGATCAGGATGTCATTCTGTCTCTTTACTATGCACTTGCTATCCTTCTGGCTCTACTTATTTCCTTGTCTATTAATTGGAATTATCCTCTTGATATGCATTTCACACCCTCATCACCATTTTTTCCGTGTCATAAATGTGCGGAAACGTGATTTTAAATGGCTGCATAGTGTTCAGTCACCATCCACCTTTACAAACGAGGCAGCAGTGAGCACCCTCAGCACATGGTATATCTCTGGCCAAACCGCTAGTTGTCTCTGACTGTTTCCTTACACTAAATTATTAGAAGTGAAATTTTTCCAGGACAGCAGTATGAGCATTGTAGTTTAGGCCATTAGAGTTATAAGGGGTTTGGGAAGCAACTGTTTTTGTTAGGAATGGTGCTGGAGCTTGACGTGGTCTGTGAAAGGCAGCAGCACCACAGCAGGGATGGAAGTAGGAGGTGGAGAGGCTGCTCCCAGTAGGCGGTAGGTGTGCCGGGTCGAGCAGAGATGGAGGCAGTGTGGAGCCTGGTGTGTGCAGGAGACTTTGGGGTGATGCGGGGCCTACTACAGGGTCTTTTTGGGGAAGGAAAAGGAGCAGAAGTCACTGCAGGGCCTGGTTCCCTGAAGCAAGGGGAGGGAGTGTGGAGGCTTCTGTTTTCTCTTCTATACAAAAGACGGTGCTTGGAGAGTTGTGGGGTCCAGGGAGGATCTGGGGCAGAGTCAGCGAGTGTAACGAGGCATGAACCCCCAGCACTTGCAGCTTTTCCCTTGGTCCCCTAGCTTGGCACCCTCTCTCCTCTCCTTGAGTTTGGCTTTGCCAAGCTGGCTCTGTCCCTAGGGCAGAGGGCCCAGGAGCGGGGTTGCTTGGTTTCCTTTTATTGTGCTCTAATGCCTGTGGCCTGCTTTGCACAAAGCTCTTCTTTTCCAGGGACCCTTTTCTGGGGAGTTGGCCCCTCATCCTGGGCCTCACAGCATCTCCAGAGCCACGGGGGAAGGAAGGCCTGAGGGCTGTAAGCAGGGTGCGGTGGTGCTTGGGCTCCGCCTATGGGGAGCTTAACCTTGGAGAGGGACCTTCCCTCACTCAGGAGGTCCTCAGCGAGGCAGGGTGGCTGCGGTGGTCAGAAAAGGCTGGGAGGGGGCAGGAGTCAAGGCCTTCCTACAGCCTGCGTGCTTAGTGACGGTGGGTGGGGAGCTGTGGAACAGCTTGGAGTGGATCTCTGCACTGAGAGGACAGGGAGAAAAATGGGAAGCATGTTGAAGAGAAGTTGGGATAGTCATTGATTGTCTTTATGGTCTTTCTGAATTGATGTTAGAAAGTCTTCAGACTGGGAAAGCTGCCCTTGGGTCACTGGGCTGTGGGGCCTCGTTAGGATTCACCACCATGTGGGTTGTCCTGGGGACTGAGGGTGAGGCCTAGCAATTGGGGTGAGGTGGGGGGTGCAGCTCCCCAGTGGCAAGAGGATGGTCTACAGCAGCTGATCTCTCCTCTCCCGCCCCCTTCCCCAGACATCGTTCTACGGCCGCTTCAGGCACTTCCTGGATATCATTGACCCTCGCACCCTCTTTGTCACTGAGGTAAGTCCTGGCTGTCACTCTTGTGGAGGCCCCTTGGCCTTTATCCCTTGCCACTTTAGAAGACCTGTGAGTCATCTGTACGTGTACTTTATACACATTATCTCATTTCATTTGGATCTCGCCATGTCCCTTCAAGGTAGATATATATCATCATCATCACCTCCAACTTTAATAAAATTATTTCCAGCTACATGAATTACATGGTCCTTACAAAAGTTTAAATAGTATAGATGTGTTTAAGTAGAACAAAAAAAGTATCCTTTATACTCTCTTCCTACCCAGTTCCCTTCTCTCATAGAGAATGAAGGTATAATTTTCCTTTTACATGAGAACCATTCTGTGAATTTTTGACAAACATATTCGGTTATGAATCCACCTCCACAATAATAGTGGAGAACATTTCTATTGCCCTAAAATGTTCCCTGATGCCTGTTAGCAGTCAATCTCTCCTGCCCAGCCCCTGGCAACTGCCTGTTTTCTGTCCCTACCGTCTTCCCGTTTCTAGAATGTCATATACATGGAACATGACATTTCCTCCGTACAGTGCTTCTGAGAGCCATCCGGGTCATTGCAGGTGTCACTACTTGCAGCCCTTCGCATTACTGAGTAGTGTTCCATTGAAAGGAGATTTCAGGTTTGTTTGTCCACCCACTTGCTGGTCAACACCAGTTTTCAGTTTTCAGCTATTGCAAATAAAACCAGTATAAGCAGTCTTTGTGTGGATGTATGCTTTCATTTCTATGCATAAATAACTAGGAATAGGATCGCTGGCTCACATGGTACGTGTGGTAAGTGTATGTTTAACTTCATAGAAAACCGACAAACTGTTGTTCAGAGTGGCTCCACATTTTAAACCCCCATCTGCAATATTACGGTTGCTCTCCATCCTCACCATCATTTGGTATTGTCAAATGTAAACCAATTAAGTTTCCTTCAGCTACCCCAAGAAGTGTGTCTTTTTAGCCCTGTTAGTATTTTTGTAGTATTTGCAAGTATGTGTAAGTATGCATGTACATACAAAATAGCAAAGATTTATTAATCTTTGAATAAACTGTGAGGAAGGCAGTGTTGTAAGCATTTAAATGCATCAGCTCATCAGATTAACTCAAAGGAACCCATGAGGTAGATACTATTACAAGTTCCATTTTACGGAGGAGGAAACAGATAAGTCCCATTCCTGTGGTGCTGGCCAGGGATGGAGCCAGGGTATGGACCCAGGTAAGCTTGTCTTCAGAACACTTATTCTTAGCCAGTTTGCATTCCTGTTCGGGTAACTGGATTTAGAGAACTCTCCCAAGATTCCTCAGTGGGCGGAAGGCCCTGAGTTCCTGCCCTGGGCCACAAACCCTGAGGCAAGTCGTTGAGCCTCTTAGTTGGCTTCCTGAGTGCACAGCTCTTCCCTGCACATCTTCTCCGTGCTGAGCGCTGACTGCCTTGCCCCAGAGTCCATCAGCTCTGGGAGGGAAAAGCCATGTGGAAAGAAGCGCAAGGCCTGCTGGGCACCTGGGCCTGAAACAACCCCCACTGTGCCCGAGGGAGCAGCCCAATAATGTGGCATGTGGCGATTAATCTGATCTGCGGTTTCCCACCACATCTGGCAGGGACGGAGGCTCAGGCATTTTACTGGCCGGCCCTCCCTGCCCCTCTGGCCCTGCCGCCTCCCGAGGGCAAGGCTGCCGTACCTCTCGGCTCTAACAGGGTTCTCCTAGGGACCCGTCAGTGTGATCGCAGAAAAATTTGGAAGAGCATTAAACCAGAGAAAACACTTACCTAGCCTAGATTAGGTATCTTTCTAGAAAATTCCAGAAAGGTGCAAAACTAGATACAGTTGCCACATAATCCCAACATAAATGCTACCTGCTTGATGGAAGAGTCAGCAGAGGCTTAACCCAAGGGGCAGAGGTGCTCATGGTGGACTGAGAGGCGTGCTGAGAGATGACAGAGGGAGACTAAGGGGGTGGGGCAGTATTTCGGTGCTCCCCAGACTACCGTGAGTCGACAGGGGCTTTGGGGATGGGTGGGTGGCTACAGGGCGACATGCCGCCTGTGCTGGGGGCTCCCACCCTCCCTCCTCCCCAGTCCACCCCCTTCTCATTCCCAGACCACTTCATTTTACTGCTCTGCCCCTGTGCCACATCTTCTTCTATGCTTGTATTTTGAAAGGGCCTAACATTTTTGTACACCACGAAAGCATTTGGATCTAAATACCATTACAAAATACAGAAATCTCATACTTTAGTATTAATTGAAGTGTCAAAGCAACTTAACTACTTACTAACTAGAAAATGAAACCAATGCAACAGTAGTTTTATCATATTTCTCAGATTTCACAGGTTCCCTCCCTTCATCCAAGACTATGACGGACTCTCCAGAAAGATCTTCACCTTTCCCCTGGTGCTGTACCCCCCACCCCCACACACCAGCTGGGGACAGTTTCCAGCATAGCCTGCTGGCCTTTTGGAAAGCATCTCCCCACAGACCTACTAGGCCCTAAAAACTCTGGAACCACCATGAGCGGGACCTTCAGGCCCTCACTGGTTCTTGCCCCGGCAGGTGGCTTAGCAAGGCCATCTGCATGAACGAAATGAGAAATTAGAGGCACTTGGAGGAAAAGGTCTCTTAGCTGCGTCCCTCCCCTGTGAACCGAGGCCCTGCCAGGAGGAACAGCTTCCCGCTTCTGCTGGGCTCACGGACCACGGCTCCTGTCTACACAACATGGTTTCTCTCCCAGGGCCCTTGGCTGGTGTCCTGGGAGCGAGTGTGGGACCGGCCTGCTTGCCTGTGAGTGTGGGAGCAGAGTGGAGGACGGGAGGAGGTGGCTCTGGAAACCAGAGTTTCCTGAGGTGGACAGATCCCGGGCAGCTTGAGCCATCTGGTGACCTGGTTCTGAGGGGCAGCAGCTGAATCAATGGATAGACTCATCTTGAGAGTGTTTTGCAGCTACTTGTTTGCAATTTATAACTGACCAAGCTTTAAAAAGATTCCAACTCTTGTATGTGTAGTGAGGCAGAGGAAATCTGATTCACTGTAATTTCTCTTAGGAAGAAGGCTGGCTTTGTTTTATGAATGGCTTGAACAAGGCTTCAGGGAGGAGGTTGGTCCGCTTGAAAGACGGGGAGGATTTGTGCTTTGACCCTAAGGGAGAGAGGAGAGAGAAGGACGAAGAGGGGACAACAGTGGGAAGGAGAGCAAGTGACCCCGCGAGCTGACAGGCCAGTACCTGGGGGCTCTTCTGAGAGGGGTCATGCCCACTGGGCTCGTGGTAGTCATTGATGGGACACAGCATTGTCCCCGCCACCATCGTTTCTGGAAAGTTGTTCATAAAGTCTGCCTGGGTCATGAAATGTCTGCAAGAGTAGATATTTTGAGAGGACCTTGAGGGGGTCCCGGTCTCCACGAGGGTGCAGAATGTATGGGATCACCCTGAGGCAGGAAACCACAGGAGCTGGCAGAAGCCCCAGCTTTGGCCTTCCACTTAGGTCATGGAATTCCCTCTAGATCTCTGAGGCCAACTGACATCTAAGCTACATTTAATTGTGGATGGACGATAAAAGGGATTTGCTCTTCTGAATTCAATAATTATTTAAGGGAATAACTGGTTGATAGACTGTCATCCTGAAGGACATAAAAAACTAATAGAAGAAGTGTTAACAATACCATCTCGATACTAGTACTGGTGTAGCAATTTAAAACTATTCGGGGTATATTGTAGGATAGATTAAATAAGTTATTATATTGATGTTGTGAACTGGGATTCTGACCATGGGAGTGGGGAGATAACAAATATATGAAGAAGGGAAAAGACAAAGAACTCTATGATGTTGTATTTGAATTGGAGATATCACTATGAACTCATAACTTACACACGTGCACACCACACACACACACACACACACGCACGCTCACACATGTATTTCCCAATTCCCTGGCTCTGTTATACCCAGTAACAAGGTACCACTATCCACATGTGGGGAAAGGGGAATTGCTACATATAGTAAGAAAGTGCTCAAAGAATGAGGGAGACACAGGAAATGGCTTGAAGGGCAACCCACTGGTCACATCTGGGACAATTTGAACATTAAGAAGATTAAACACAATAGATTCTAATACATTGAGTAATAACGTAAGCAAGACACAGGTTCAGCTGCCTGCCACAGCATAAGCCAAACAGGTGCAAGCGCAAAAGGAAAGGTTTGTTTAGGTGTTGCAACCTGGGAGAATGGTGGGCCCCTGTCGCGAAGACCCTTCCCACTTCCTGCTCAAGCCTGCAGTTCTTATAGGGATAGGGAAGGGAGGGCTTTTTTTCTCTTGAATTATGTTGCTAGCTTTTGGCATGCTGGGGTCCTATCCACTCATCTTTCTAGGTTTCAGCTCCGAAGGCCCTGTTAATCTTTCTAGCTTTTGGTCAGCTCATCTATGCCAATGGGGAAGACTCCCGGGCATTCCCTGACTGCCTACCTATGGTAATAATAATAACAACAATAATAATAACAATAATAATTATTATTCCATGAATTCATAGTAATACTAAAAATGTGGAAGAAGGAAGCTATTCTTCACAGAAGAATGTCAGCTAATAAATACAGAAGGAAATAACCATTGTGTGATCCTCAATGAAACAACTGATTCCAACCAGGATTTTTGATGGATGCTATTTCTGTAGAGCCAAAGATTGTTGGGAAACAGGGTGTTTGTATGTTCTCAAATCAGATATCATTCCGAAGATTATTCAGCAGTTAGAAAGGGGAAAGATTACCTTTACTATGGGCTGGAGGACACCCCTTTAACAAGGTGACCAAGCTTAGCATCACTAACAATGAAAACAACTGACATTATATGCCTCCTGATGTGGCATATTCTAGTATTATCCCTAAACATGGGGAAATATATGGAAGTCTAAAGAAGAAAATAAACTGCTTATTACTCCACTTACCATTAACATTTTCATGTATATTTATGTGCAAAATTAGCATATGTATATACACATACATAATATGTAT